CGGAGGCCTAAACAACGTAATTGTCGGTGGAGACTCAAACTCCATTTCCGATGGTGACAACAACTTCATCGGCGCTGGTGACACCAACTCAAACAGCGGTGAACAATCGGGGATTGTTGCGGGTAGCGACAACACGATCGTAACCAGCGCAGACAATTCGTTCATTGGAGCCGGTGACGGCAACATCATCAGCTCTACCGATGTTGATAATGCGATCGTCTGCGGGTCTACCAACACCATTGGTGCAACCGCGCTCAGCGGGAATGCGATTGTCGGTGGATCGGGACACACCATCACGGCCGCGGGGCTAGGACGGTTTATCGGCGGCGGCGCGTCCAACATCATGGATACAGCCTCATCGAACGGATTCATCGGGGCGGGATCCGGTAACCTGAACCGCGGAACCGCCGCGGGTATCGTGGCGGGAGACGACAACGACATTACCGTAGCGGCGTCCAATTCGTTTATTGGTGCAGGCACGGGACACCGAATCACGACAGCCACCGCCAACAATGTGATAGTTGGCGGTGATTCCAACTTTGTCTCAGGCGGTACGTCGGGTGGCATCGTGAGCGGAGTCGGTAACCGCATCACCGGCGGTGACGAAGGCTTCATTGGCGCGGGAGACCAGAACCTAGTTGCCGCCGACGACGGATTCGTGGGTGCCGGGCAGAACAACACAGTCTCCGCCGCCCAGGGTGGTATCGTCGCGGGGCTCAACAGCATCATTACCGCGGCGGGTGGGCAGAGCTTTATTGGAGGCGGACAGCGCAACCTCGTATGCGACCTGCGCGGCGTTGTGGGTGCAGGCCAAAACAACCAAAACGGCGCCACCAATGGCGTCATTGGCGGAGGGTTCGGCAACTCCATCGGGGGAGGCTGCCCGGGCTTCCGGCGCGATGTTGCCGGCGCTCAGAGCTCCGGCATCTTCGTGGGCGAGAACAACACCATATCGACAACGGGAGGCGCGGCTGCGATCCTCACCGGCACGGGCAACACCATCTCGGGCGATAGCCAGAATGCAGCCATCGGGGGAGGTACCACCATCACCATCAGCGCGACCGGGGACAATGACTTTGTCGCGGGTGGGGAGCGCAATAGTATCGCGGGCGCGTCCACCAACTGCTTCATCATGGGCGGTCGCGTCAACATGGTGACCGGCGCGTGTGAAGGCGGAGGCGTGGTGGGGGGCTTCAACAACACCATCTCCGGAACCGCCGGCTCGGTTATCCTGGGCGGTAACAACATCACTGCGACGGCTGACAACACCGCTTACGCACAAGACATGGAAGTGGTCGGCGATCTTACACTAGGGGGCGGGATTCTCTCTACAAGATTCACGTTTATCGACAACACCGGAGGCGCGACGTCGTACACTCCGACCAACGACGACCGCTGGATCATCACCGACTCTAGCGCCACGCCCACGGACATCACCTTCACCCTCCCCGACGCCGGACTCGATCATGGTCGGCAAATTTGCATTAAGGACTTGTGCACTCTTGCCGGGGCTAGGGACTACATTTTCAGCGTAGGAGCGGCGGGGTTCCCCATGTTCGGATCCAACGGCGGCTTTGGAGGAACCGCACCCGTCTTGCCACCGGGCTCGTTCCTGACAGGGGCAGGCGGCTTCCAAGTGTGCATCACATTCTACGATGGATCGGACGGCGGGACCGCGGGGTGGATTCTGGGTCCAGGAGTTTGATTGTTGTGTATTACGAGTATCGAAAGGTTGCTCTGAGCTCAATCGTACCGTCGGCGTTATGGATCACATACGGCCGCACGTTTTCCAAATTACTCAGTAAAGACAGAGCTCCTCGCAACGCCGGTTTCATGAACTGCGTCGTAGTCAGTACTTGCCCAAACGAACCTCCAGAAGGTATGTGCGTAACCACATCTTCCTCGTAGTAGTAGATTGTAAGCTCGGTGATTCGCACGTCAATGATACTCTTCTCCCTGTGCACATACGTGTTCCCCTCCGCGCGATAGGTCGCGTTCTCATAATGTACAAAGTTGGCCTCATCAAGGGCCTCTTCAATTTTGGACAGGATGGATTCGTACAATGCCCACTCCTCCGTATTGTTGTAATACCACACAAAGTAGGCGTTGTAGTGTTGGTGCACGGCCTCTTCAATGTGGCCGTAGTAGCCGTCGCGCTTGTTGAAAACTGTACGCACCCGCGCCTCTGGCTTTTCGAAGGTTTTCCTCAGTAGAGTGCGCGCGCAGTAGTGCTGGTCGTCGAGAATGTCCTCTGTAAGAACGAGCGAGCTCCCCATCACAGTCCAGGTCACGCCGCTCGACAAGCAGTGGTCCGGCACATCAATCGCGAACTGGCCAAAGTTGTTGCCCAGGTAGAGAGTGTCGCTGTTCCCGTACGACCCTACCATACACGCGTGCGGCGTAATGTCATTGGCTTCCGTCATGAGCACCGCGGAAATGGGAGCATCCGTCAAGGTTTCCCGCGTTCTTGTATATCCCAGGAAGATGCGCACGTGGTCTGCGGGAACGGGATCAAAGACATCGTAGACGCAACTGGAGTTACAGAAGCACCCCAGGCGGGGGGTGATCGCACCCGCGACGCATGTGGCGTGAATCGCGATGATCGCGGCCAGACACGCCAGCAATCTCATACTCGCCATGCTTTATGTGTAAGATCTAGTTACTGATCAATGTACGTGGTTATATAGGACGTCTAGTTTACTCATGATGGTAGCGGAATGCCGTTGGGAATGACGACCACCTTCTGCGTGTCGTCGTCGGGCATCAGCTCTCTCGGGACGTTCCTGCTAGGTATCGTAACATAGAACATAAATAGCAAGGGCACCATGACTGCAAAGAAGTTGATGCCAAACATCAGGAGGATCGCCGCGTACGTGGGAAAGTCGCTCAGGTCGTACACGACCCTCAGGTCCACAATGTTGTAGTACAGCAGGATGGGCAGAAACGCCATTGCGTAGTTGAACAGAATGTACCACCATGCCTGCTTGTAGTCGACCTTGAACGCCGCGCGCCGGTGCGAACACAGCAGCTCTCCCCCGTACACCTTGGGTAGCGAGTACACGCGCGCGAACATGAGAGTATATACATCGCTGAGGTCTACCCAGAAGCAGAACAGCACCACCAGCGCCGCCACGAGCGGGATCACGTGGTACATGCGGTCCACGACCAGTACGACCCCGTCGTCGTACTCGCCACCCCCCGTCTTGGTCTCGCCGATGATGAGCTCGGGCGCGTCCAGAAACACGCCGAACACCAGCACGAAGACAATCACCGCTTGCGCAAACACGTTCCACCAGAAGCCAAAAAGCACAAAGAACTCCAGAGAGCGCTTGCGGGGATCACCAAAGAACGACAGCGTGTATAACATGAAGAAGGCCGCCTGATACGCAAAGGAGATGTTGGTAAAGTAGGAGATGAACTCCGTCACCGATTCGTAGATACACTTGTACAGAACCCCGACCCACAGTACGATTGTCCACGCCAGGGATGCAAAGAAGAGGAAGATGCGCCGGTTGTTGAACTGCAGCTCCCACCTCTCGCGCTCCATGAACGGCTTCCAGCGCTCCGGACCAACCAGGTACATGAACGTCCCCACCGTGTACCTGGTAACCAGGGAGACGATGAACGCCGTGTAGCCTAGAACATGGTTCACGATCCAGTTGAGCGACAGCAGGCCCGTGTCGAACAGCTCCGGCACGGGAGGGAGGAGAGGGCCGTCAGAATTCATTGCGTCTTCACCCTCTGTCAGACACCCCGTTATATCGCATTCCAAAGCTATATCTCGACCTCCAATTCCTTGGCGTCCTCGTCCACATCCACCTCGCTGTCAATCATCAGCATCAGCGCATCTTCGAGAGCGCCCATGGACGCGTCGCCGTCGCCCGATGACGAGCGGTAGGGACTGTCCTGGAGCGGGAGGAAGGCCACCTCCTCGTCCTGCGACCGCGAGGCGCGGGGGTGGTCAAAGTCCTGCGAGTAGATCGAGAAGAACCGCTCCAGCGTGGCGTTGCGCTCTTTCATGATGGCGGGGCCCCGCGCGGTGGTAGTCACAAGGTTGACTTCGCAACGCATCTTGCCGGCGTGGTTCTCAACCAGCGCGCAAATGTCGTCGAGTGTCTCCGCCATGCACACAACCGACCGCCCCTGCTCGTCGCCGTGGGAATCGAACAGCATGAACTTGGGTGAGGGATCGCCGCGGAACACGTGCACCGAGAAGCTGCGAGCGGCGTTCGAAGTTATCACAAAACTCACAGCGGTGCGGTCCTTGGGGATGAGTGATGGCGCCTTGTCGAAAAGCTCCGAGACGTGCAGCGGGTCGACTGTGGTGCCCCAGCGCACGTGGACGGGCTCGCTCATCTTGTAGTCGGGCTTCTCGATCTTGCGGGATAGATAGGCCTCGCGCGCGACCAGAAGGGCGTGCTGGACGCCCGGTTCCAACTGTGTGCGCGTGGGATTGCGCAAAAGCGCGTAGTTGGTATCCGACAGGTAGGTCTCAGTGGCGGCGATGAGCCACGTGCACGTCTCGAGCTCGTCCTGGGAGCTGATGAAGAGGCGGCTGTCTGGATATACATCCTTGAGAGGCTCGTAAACTTGTGTAAACCACTCCTCGCTGCTCTTATGCAGCAGCTGGTCGTGCCTGATGAGCTCGGACACCGTGCACAGAAACATGCTCCAGACTGCAGGATCACACTGCTTGACGATCGTGTGTGATACGTTGAAGGGGTTGCCGTTCCCGTGCTGAAGCTGCATGACAGCCGTGTCCAGGACGTTGAGCGATGTCTTGTACGCGCTACACTCGGCAAAGATGGACTGTAGGAGCCGATACTTCTTCTGCACCTCGGCCGACGCGCGATCAAACACTATCAGCATGAGGTGATCGTTGGCGTCGATCGCAATCACATCGCGTAGCAGAAAGCAGTGTTTGACCAGACTGTCGACGACCTGATTGCCGGTGGAGACTGCGTTGATGGGTGCGGGTAGCGAGAGCGCAATGTCGCCAAAGTTGGGGCGGATCTTGCAGTTGTCCGTCTCCGCCGCGGCGACGCACTGTAGGCACTTGAGGAACGCCTCCTCCAGGCAGGCGTACATGTAATGGCCCCGCGCCATGCGCGGCTTGATGGCGAGACTGCGCCCATCCCTGGTACGAATGCCGACGAGCGCACTGATGATGCTATCGGTACGCTCCGTAATCACCGCCGCCTTCCACAGTAGAAAGCCATAGTGCACAAAGGTCTCAAAAATACTCACATCTTGATATACATCCTCGGCGGTCTTGGGTACGCTCAGATTAGTCCCGATTGATAGCGCGGCGTACAGGGACACTGCACAACACGAGTTGCCCGCCTGGCAAAAGGGTAGTTTGGTACACGCGTACCCCACCTTGCAGCTCGGTCCTCCCGTATCCATACTAGCCTATATCTCTTCCATTTGGCCACAAACCCTATATACCGAGCCCTCGATCTTTATGCACCATGGCCTCCAGGAAGCCCCGGAACCGGCACTACTTTGTGGGCACGATTCATCCCCGCGCCAAGATGGTAGAGGACCAGAAGAATCCGGTTGACGACATTCCCCAGGAGGCCCTGGACAATATGGACCTGAGGGACATTCCGCTCACCATCGGACACCCAGAGGACTACCGCAAGTCCATCTCCGAGTACCCGCAGCTGGTGCGCGGTAAGCTCACGGAGACGATCCGAGGCAAGAACGGGGAGTTGCTCGCCTTGGGGTACGTCGAGCATGACTCGCTCCAGGGGTGCCTGCTACTGAGCGACATCAAGGGTGGGGCGCGTCGGGGACTGAGCCTGGGCCATTGCATGATGCACCCCAAGGATGCGGAGGGCCGCCTGCTGCCCGATAACCGCATATACAAGCCGGACCACGTGGCCATTGTCGAAACACCAAGGCGGGAGGGATGCTTTGTCCATTCGATCAAAGCAGTGCCAAAAGAGCCCTATTTAAGCTCAAGTCAACATACAAGTCAGTCACCCGGGGGCGCCGGTATGACTGGTGAGAGAGTATACGTCACTGCAAGTAGTACAACGCCGCCACCGAGAAACGAGACTCGAACACCAATGGCCACGGAAGCTGCCGCCCCCACGCCTTCGGCCCTCGCCCCAGCGGCGCCGGCCGGAGGCGCCCCGACTCCCATGGAGACGACTCCTGCTCCCCCAGCCCAGGCAGGGGTTGACGGGGAGGTCGATCTGGCAGCCATGGACAAGGAGCAGCTGCTCGACCTGCTGGCCCGTGCCGGAGGACGCACACACGAAGCCGAGGAGCAGCGCCGCGAGATGGAAGCGAAGATCGCCGAGTACGAGAAGGAGAAGCAGGATCGGTTCCAGAAGCAGGCCGCTGAGGCAGAGAAGCGCAGCCGTAATGCCGTGGACGGGCTGATGCGATTCCTGCGCCAGATGAACAAGGAGGTAAGCGCCAGCTCCGACGGAGAGAAGAAGGAGGGCCAGAGCCCCGATGACCCCTTCGACACGGACGTCGCGATGAAGCTTCTCGTCCCGGGCGGTTGCAAGAGCGAAGCCGACATCCAGCGCATGGATAAGATGAACGAGGCATTCGCCGCCTACAGCGTCGCAGCCGCGGCCGGCCTCAAGCACGCAGAGACCGAGTCTAAGCGCTACAGCGACTACGCCCGCGTCGCGCAGGCTGCGCACAAGCCCCAGGTACAACAGTTTGCGTCCAGCCTCATGCACG